GAAGGCAGGGAGGCGCGCGCGTCGCGGGCCCGAGGAGCGCCGCGGTGTCCCCGCCGAGAAGAGAAGCGCGGTCGCGCCCCTAGCTCCCCCGCTCCCGAGCGCGCTCCGGACGCGCCGTGCCCGGGCAGCTGTCCGGGGATTCCCGGCGGCGACGCCTGTCGGAGGGGAACCGCTCCGGGGCCGTCCGTACCCCCGGGGCTGATGGCGCTGGGCATCCTTTTCTAAGTGTTTTAATGCGGTTTCAGCTCAAGACTCGGCCAGCCAGAGGTCCCAGGCGTTCGTGATTGACCTTCGCACCTTGGTAGCTGCAGTGACTCGCCTGAGGTCGTGTGGCTTTGAGGCCAGCTACCAGCCCCAGCTCGAGGGGCAGTCCGGGTGGTTTGTGGTTTCTTTCAAACGCTTTTCTATTGACCCTCCTGAAGTAGCGTGACCGTAATGAAGGGGGTCTGGCTGTCGAAGGTGTTTACAACTTTGGTAGAATTTTAGTTATGCCGAGCCACGAAGCCGCGCATCTGCCATGACTCCTATAAGTAGTGAAACTGGATTGCTGTGTTTGGTCGCAGGTCTGAGAATAGGTTTAAAGAGCAGATACTTAGACAGTTTATGTCATTTTCCTCTTCTGTTTCGCCTTCCAATCCTCTCTAATGCTTGTTTTCTTACTTTACAGTTGATTGTTGCCTATTTTAGTAAGATTTTCTTTGCTTTAATGAAGTCATTGCCATTTGTGAATTAGTTTTCGAAGTAGAAAACCTTATTTCCTGTGTGTTTAATGACTGGAACAAATAGCGCATTCTGAGGTTTATATCATTGTCTTTTATCTTAGAACTACTGAGCTAGCTGCTTTTATTTTCCTCCAGCTACCCATTTGCATGCTTTCTATGTGCTGTTGAAAGAATTTACAGCAAAATTTGAGTGTTACATGATTCAGAGAAAAACTTTGCCAAAAAATTTTTTTTGGAAACTTTTGTTCCAATCTGAAGAACTACTGTTTCAAAAAAATAAGATTTATTCTAACTAAAAGGCCTATTTTCGTACTAGTAATTTTTCGTATTGACATCCTTGTGGTGCACAATAGTTCCCCAAATAAGTTTGCTGATTTGCAAAATATTTCCCCAAATAAGAATTCATTACCTTAGCCAGATCTTCTCAAGGGAAATCACATTTTAAAGTACTGATACATTTAAAGAAGAATATTAAGCTTGGCAAAATTTAATAGTTTATTTTATAGTGCTATAAATTGTACAGTTTTTCCATTAACAGAGTCTCTTGAAGAATATATCTGTGTTAAGGTAGTGTATCTTGTATATGGCTGTGAATTTATCCTTTGGGGAGAGCAGTGGATAGTTTCTGCCACAATAAGATGTGACATAAATGTTGCTTTCTATCTCATTTTGTCTTATTAACAAATAGTTTTATTGTTGCTTTGAGTAGCAGGTCTATATCCTTTTTCTTTCCAGTTTTAGCAGTGTAGCAAAATAGGAAATAGAAGTGGTGTGTAAGTTTGAGTATGGCATAGACTAGGAGAGACAGTGGAACAGGATAAGTATACAATTGTGAGGAAACCGCTGTGAGTTCATAAGCCGGAAGGACCTTTTTAGACATATTTAAGGATGTTAAGAATAGCATTGGGATCTTTTCTTTTAAAAAGTCATTGTGGGGAATATTCAAGTGTTGGTTGATAACATGGGAGATACTATAACATTGAAGAACGCATAGGGAGGTACTTGGGAAAAGTGGAAACATTTTAATAAGGATTTTTCCCCTAAAAACATTTGACAGAACTTTTCAGAAAGTGGCTTTGTGACCTAAACCAGAAAGTTCCTTACTATTATTCTTACAGTTACACTGCAGATTCCATAGTTATTTTCACTGTATAATTTGTAACTCAGAATGAAATCTTTGAAGTAGTTTATTAGCATAACTTAAGTTAGATGTTGACATTGACATATTGCTTGAGTTATTTTTACTCTTGTTTAAGTAACTCTACCACATAAGAATGAGGATAGTTTTCTGAATAAAATTAGTAATTATTCAGATGTGACGATGGTTACTCACATTCTGCATTTGTTAGATAGAAAATTTCAAGTACTATAGAACAGTAACTCCCATCCCCCATTTGATTCGAATGCACAATTAACTTTTTTACTTGTTTGAATAGTTTACTTTTGGTAATATTTAAACTTAATTTTAAATTTAAAGATTTATTGCATTTTAGATTCTCCAAGATACTGTAAAATGTTTCATAGGAAATAAATATTAAAATACAGTTTTAGGGTTTTTAACCATCTGTGAACATACATCATTTGGAAATCTATTGATATGGTATCTAAAAGAATTTCACGGGGCAGAAACTTACGGTAGCTTTAGATATTTAATTATAATGCTTAATTGCATATTTACAGGATGTCTTTCTGTAAAAATTAAACTACTTGTTAATATTTATAATAGCAGTAGGATCCTATTACGTTTAAAGAGTAACTTTAAATCATTTAATCCTGGCTGGGCATGGTGGTCAGGCCCGTAATTCCAGCACTCTGGAGGCTAAGGCAGGAGGATTGCTGTGAGTTTGAGGCTAGCCTGGGCTACAAAGTAAGTTCAAGGCCAGCCTGAACTGCACAGTGAGACCCTATCTCAAAAAGACCCCCTGGCAAAAAAATTCATTCAATCCTAAAGTAATATTTTTTTTTTTGTAGGTACTGTGTGATACGGAATGTGTGAGTTTGTAATTCCTAGAAGATGTTTAGCAAACATTTGCTGTTTATTTTACTAAGCAGTTTGACTAGATACATAGCTTTAGTTCAGTAAGATAGTGTTTTGGTGATTTTATGTCAAGCTTTCTTTGAATTGGAAGTTTTGTTGGACATAAAAGAAAATTAGAGTCATTTAAAATTTTAAAAAATTGAATATGTTATAAATTAAAATACTGTTTCCAAATGGAACTCCTATCAGATTTGTCAGTCTGATAGTTTTATTCTTCAAAAAGTTGTGGTTTTACCCCTTTAGGCAGGCTTCTAGCGTAGCTTCTAACCCAGTACAGTAAATCCTTCCTGAGAATTCCTGTGTCAGGTATTTCATTTCATTTCTTTTCTTCTCTTCTCTTTTTTCTTTTCTTTTCTTTCTTTCTTTTCTTTTTTTTTCTTTTTTTCCAGTACCGGGAATTGAACTCACAACCTTTAGCTTGCCAGGCAGGTGCTGTACAGCTGAGCTAAATTCCCAGCCCCTACTTTCTTTTTTTTTTTTTTTTGTCCTTTTGAGACAAAGTCTCACTATGCATCTCACTTTGTAGCACAGCCTGGTCTTGAACTCACAATGGTCCTCCTGCCTCAGCCTCGTGAGTGCTTTATCTCTCATTTCCAAAGGTGGTAGTCCATATGTTGTTAGGTTATTGATCAATTAAAGTTTGGTGAGAACAAACCAAATAGCTTTAATTTTCAGTTCAGTACTTTTAACTATGCTTTGTAGCCTCTTCTCCCCTCCTTTCCCTTGCCTCTATTAAAATCTCCAGTCTAATGTATTCCAGTTTAAACCATTGGTCTTATATTCGGTGTAGAACTTCTTTTCTCTCTTACCATAGGGTCTTGCTATTTACTGCCTAAAGCATTTAGGGTAAGAAGGGATTGTGGTATGCTCTTAAGATGCCTCTTTTATTTTCCTCTTAAAGAATTTACTTGGACAGAGACTAGTCAGATAGAAAAAGCAAGTATTTCTTATCTGGTTTTTCTGAAGTCATCGCTTTACAGCGGTAGACTGTTGATGTCCACTGATAAACTATGAAACTGACATTTTTGGTGAGATCTTTCAGAGAGTTGCCCTACTTCGTATTTACTGTATATGCAATTTCTGTTGCTAAAGCAAACTAATCTATACCCTTGCCTGCCTGTTCCTGTGAGTGGGGGTGAGTTGGGGTGAGGATCTTTTTTCTGTGTAGCAAGTTTCTTGATAACAGGATTACTTGAGTCCAGGTACTTCTGCAGTTCCCACTCAACCTACTTGAAAATCACTTCCTTCTGATGTCAAATGGTGGCATGCAGGCTGCTCAAGTCTACCCCCTTTCTCTCTCTTGCCATTTCTTATAGTTCTGCTTGTCCCCTTGCTTACATGTGGGTCTGCTCTGTAGGCAGACATTGACCCAGAGAATGAGATGCCAATCTCCCTTTTTCTAGGCACTTAAGAGCTTGGGGAATAATTCCTCTTGGAGGCCTTGCCCCTGTTTTTTGTATACCTCTTTCCTTTCCCCATATTTTCTCTGAAAACTTGGAAGACTTCTAATTCTTTCCTCTCCTGTCAACTGCTTCTATAGAAGGCAAGGGTGGTAAGGTGATGGTGAGGGTCCCAGAGCACTGAGGTATATGTGTGGCAGGGAGGTAAGGAAGCCATGCGTGACTTTCAGGTTAATTCTTACACAGTCTGCGTATGTGTCTTAAGATTCAACCAACCACAGATTGAAAATATTTGAAAAGAAAATTCGTCTGTATTGAACATAAACAAGCTTTTTTTCTTGTCATTATACACTGAACAACTAGTTACATAGCATTTGTGATGTATTAAGTATTATCAGTAATTTAAAGATACTGTGCAGTATAAGGAGGATGTGCATACATTATATGTAAATTATGCCATTTTATATAAGGGACTTGAGCATTAATGCATTTTGGTGTCTGGGAGTCCCAGAACCAGTCCCTGTGTTAAGAAGGGATGACTATATCTCCCCATCTTTGTTTTTGTCAAATTCTGGGGCAAGTGGATTAGGTCCATACATCTAATGAGCAATACAAAGTCCTGTGAGCCTGAAGAGGTCTCACTATGCAGAATTTAATTTTTCCTTCTTTTTCTGTATTTCTTTGTCTCTTCCTGATTTTTAAAATTTATTTCCTGGTAATTTATAACTGATTTTTGTAAAATCTTTACCATAGAGTATAAATAAAGAAAGCTGAAGAACAAATTGCGGGAGTTAATAATACAATTTTATCTCATTTTGCTTTGCAAAAGCTTTACTAAAAATATACATTCAGACAAATACAGTGTTTAGCTGATGTGTTGGCCCACATCTGTAATTCCAGCAATGGGGTGGGGGCTGAGGCAGGAGGATTACGCCTGGGCAATTTAGCAGCTTAGGGAGACCCTGCCTCAAGATAAAAAATAACCAAAGATTGTGATATATCTCAGATTGAAGGCCCTGAGTTCAATCCCTAGTCTGGCCTTTTTTCTTTGCATC